TCTTAAATGAAGGCTATTAATGGCAAATAAAATATTCTTAATTATTATGCAACTTCTCAAAACAAAACGACAAACACTTACTACCTCCTTTTTTAAATAAATGTCGTTTTGATTTTTTTGATTCATCCATTTTCCTATGTATCTAGATATGTCTAGATACATAGGAAAATGGATGAATCAAAAAAGTCAAAACGACATTTATTAAAAAAAGGAGGGAGTATAAAATAGGAGAGAGTATATCTTATCATCAAAGAAAAAATATTAATTGTTCAAGAAATTAAATTAATTCCTTCACTATAAATTAGAGTGAAGGACTACGAATTCAGCTGTGTGGACTCCCACAGACAAACCAACCACCACCTCCCATCTTCCCTCCATTCATTATTAATCCTTCAGTTCCGGCGGGAAGAATGAGTCAACAGTGGACAGCTGCCGTCAGATGATCCGTCGAGGAATAATTGGACGGTGGATGTCGCAGTTATTGAGTTCACACGCGTCAAAAATGTTGACGCCACGTGTTTTTATTTATGGTCGATTTTGCCCCCAGAAAGATGCTCTTTTGTAGATAATAAACAAAAAGTCAAAGCTTGAAAAGCCGAAAAGAGACGGGAGAAGAGAGTACGATCGGGTACACATAGCATTCTGTTTTTGACTTTTTACCTTTGTTTTTTGATAGTTTAATATAATTATAAATTTAATGTTTTTTTTTTTATTTTTTAAATTAAATAAAATTTAAAAATATGTAGTCAATCATCGAAATGTCTCCCTCTAAAATTAATGCACAACAGGTAGGAATGTATATATATATATATTTGAATATTTGTTATTGAATTTTAAGAATATGCAATTTGTAGCTTAATTTAATAATTTTATGTCAAGATTGCGAAATATAACAAATAATTTGGGTGGATTACAAATTTTCTATGTTTAATTTGCGGTTGCGCGATAATGTATAGTTGCAATTGAGTCGAGCTGATTTTAGCATTTGCGTTTATCTTCATTTATGTTCTAATAGCACTATCCGTGTTTGTCACTATTCAACCTACAATTCGTATTCGAGCTAGCTCGTGAAATTGTTCGTGAAAAGTTTGAGCTCGAGTTTGGTTTGTTCGAAATCATTCATACATGAAAATTTAAAAGTATATTTTTTAATATTTTATAAAATTCGATTAGAAATATAATATACACGAATAACAATTGGATAAATATATATATATATATTAAATGTTGGTTCGCGAGCATCACATACACTCGCGAACATGTTTGTATTCGTTCCATTAACAAATAAGCATAAGTTTTCGTTCGAGTTCGACTCGATTGACCAAAAAACAAGCTTTATTCAAACCTAAATCAGTTTATTTAAATCTCCCATGTGAGTTGGTGAGTATTTTCATAATTATGTAATAGTTCTTTTTGGTGGCACATTGTGCTAGATTTAAATTAGTAGGTGAGCAGTTTAATTTATACAAATTACAAAAATTGATGGATGAACTTATTATCTTTTGCTTCAACTTATTGAACATATTTTCTAATTATAATTTCTATTATTTTTTTTTATTTTTTTTTTGTTAATTACTTATAAACAATGGGCTGACAATATTAATTTTTTGACCCCATGCCTGGTTTAATTAGCTTAATTAAAATCATACTATTACGTAGAAACCATGCCCAAGCTTCTAGAAGACACGATTAAATACAAAACTAATGCAGCCTGTAATTAATCAATTAATTAAACAATAAAAACTAATATTAATAATAATAATTTGTAGGACAATTAATAACGCGCAAGCAAATCCTTCACGAGCTTCACAGATTTGGGACAATAAAATAAACAAACCTGGAGACTTAGGTCAAAGTAACGCTGTCTTTTAACATGGTTGCATTATTATAAAATTCTCTCATATTCTTTTTGACTTTGACAATCATTTGAAACAGTGTAACTAAACATTCGGTTTTGCTATGAAGTCATCTGATGACTCGGTTTATGGAGTAAAATTGTTATTTACAAATGATGTATCGACACGTGTCATGCAATAAATGCACATTGGACATGTGTCAGTATATAAAATTATGGATAACTTCATAAAAGAACAATCTGATGGCTCATGGAATTTCTCACTAAATATGTCCTTTTATTTAATATACTAGTAAGTAGTAACTTGTTGAATTAACCATTTTAGCTAGTATTGTTAAGGTTGGAGTTTAAAATACACCCTTATCTAAGTTATCTTCATAAAATGCATATTTATATGATTTTTTTATTATTATTAAAGAATGCACCTATAATGTTTCTATTTAGAAAAGGTTAAAAAAAGAATCTTAAAAGAATGGCAAAAAAATAAGGATAAAAATTAAAAGAAATAAGGCTTTGAATTAATCGATCTACAAAACAAGCTCAGCTTGTGCTAGTTTGGTAAACGAGCCATCATTTATGGCTTGATAAATTGGAGATTTTACATAAATTTTTGAACTTTTTAAGCCTAATTCGAACTCGTTTATCAACTCGTTAATTTAATGTCTCGGCTCGAAATAATTCGAGCTCTATACCGTTTACAGTATATATGGAGACCAATGTTTAAAATTTTGGGAAAATATAATAACGAGGTAAAGATATCATTATAAAGCTCCTAGTTGGAAACACTATAGTAGCAATATAGTAACTTTGAACCTATTATAAGTTGTCAACTCGTGCAATTTTGCTGTCACACGGTGGGAGAATGAGTCAAGCGTGTAATTAGTAATGATGATTAAAGAGAACTAAGTATCATTTTTGACTAGCAAATCAAGTTTAGTCTTCTTAAAAATCTCATATATTATTTAAATTTTGGGTTATTAATTTTAAATAATATATTTTCTCCACGTTATCACCTGAAGAGACTAGAGAGATTGTCTTAGTGGAATTTCTAATTATGATATTATAAGATATTAATCATCATGTTAACATATAGATATATAATAATAAAAATTAAATATAAATTCCATTTTTTATTTTTTATTTTTTTTGTAAATGTCGTAATTTGGCAACTGAAATTTTGGACCCTATAATGTGAAAACTGAAAATGTTAGTTGTAAACATAAGAATGCATGAATATAATTTGGAGTATATATATAATTGGTTGGAAAGCATAAATATTTCTTTAGTAAGATATGATATAATTAAATTAGTTTATTATTTCAATCTAAAACTTATCAGATTGACAGTCAATCACGGCAATTTCGGTAATGAGGAGGGGTCAAAAAATCAATTTTTTCCATACCAAATTGAACCAA